ACGCGTAATCAGCTTCCGCTGCAATATCAGGCCTCTACGAAAGACGGTAATTGGTTCTTAACTTCTTATGTAAGAATAAAAATAAAATCCTTTTGCAAATATTCATTATGCTATTTCCTGACCATTTTAAGCATAAAAACTCATAAACCTGTGGCAAAACAACTGGTTTGAGGAAAGTAGTTTAGGTATTTCCTTTAAGTAATGGCTGTAGACCCGAGACCGAATTCCCACCGAGTACCTAACTATATACACATTTGATGTCCGATTCAATTTTGACACGGCAAAGCCTCTAGTGTTCTATCAGGGTATAATTGCTGATGTATGCCACTAATCTGATCGGTAGGTAATGCATATTGCATAGGTAATGCATACCCGCGTGGGGGAGGAGGCGTTGTATAGTTACAATCTCTCTTTCTGGCTTGTGCATGAATCGGCGCGAAGCGCCGCGAAAATTGGCAAAAAAAAAACATCAGGCAAAACTGCTCCAAAATACGAATTTTGCAGCCCGTTTAACAAGTTTGATACCTGAAAACTTTAGGTCAGGTCACCAAGTCAAGTAGTCAAGTCGCCTCAAAGTTTTGTGGTCCTGTCAACGGTATAGGTATAGCTTATTTCTTAGAAGCTGACAATTTAGTGTAGTGTGACTGCAGAACTGTGGGGTCGGAGCCGGAATCAGTCGGAGTGACAGTTTTGGCCAGAGTCGGAGTTGAAGTCTTCGAAATTGTTCGGATTTTGACTCCGAGGTCGGATTTGTTTAAAGTCATGCTCTTGGCTAGTTAGACGAAATATATTATGCCCGTTTTCTGCCAGTCGTGTTATGCGACACACGTTGATCACGATATCAAAAATCGGCAGTTCCGCGATGACGGGTCGGATAAGAGCTGGAGATTTTGTTGGCCGAGGTGGCAAGGGTCAGACCAATGCATGTAGGCCCATACCCCATATACTGAGTATCTAAACCTCCTGGACCCTCTCAGATTCGGCACCGTTCCATCTCTTCCATCCTCAGGACAGTCAAATCCTTCTCCTCCACGCCGCGATCCCCTGCTCCGGGCTGGACGGGCAACTTTATCCCATGCGGGAATGACTCCACTGGAGCTAGGTATAGTCCGTTGCCGGGTACAGTGAGTGCCAGTGGCTGGGCTGCCTGTTCATTGTTCAATTGGTCGGGTTCAGCCCAAGTGGCTCACTGGCGTGGCTGCCCGGACCAATGTCTCCCACTGATTCTTTCATCCTTCCCGCTCTGAAATGGTCTCATTGGACCGAAGGGCCTAATCAAATTTCGAGTAGGAAAACAGCCAGTAAAACGCCTTTTGGGGCGACCAATTCGGAGCGAGCGAGGGGTGGGCCTTGCACGTACGAAATTGCGAGGGGGTACCTCCAACCAACTTGTGCACTGCACCCTACTAACCGGTCCCTACTCCCTAACCATGTGTCAACTTTCAGCATAATCGGTTCAGCCGTTCTCGAGATCTGGAATCGGCCCCTGCATGTGCGCACGTGCAGCAGCACCCCCAACTGTGGCACATGGTCAAGGATATGCATTGCCTAGTGGGTGCCTACCTACATGCCAAGTTTCAGCGCAATTGGCCCAGTATGTTACCGAGATATTATAATTGTTACAAAACTGACCTCTTCGTTTTTCACGTGGCAGGTGCATAATGGGTCACCCACATGCATTGAGAATAGTTCAATACTTGTTAGAAGGAATGAAGCTGCCCTACAAAAATTACCGCATGTAAATCAATCAAGTGGTTTCTGAGATATAAGTATCGCAAAAGCATGACCACGGCCGGCCGCTCATACTCAGAATTCAGAAATGTCCCGAAAGACTACGCTCGCTTCGCTCGCTCCGTAATGAGTTTGGGGGGGACGTCCCCCTTCCATTCTGAGAGTGGGGGGGACGCGTCCCCCCCGTCCCCCCCGGTGGCGGCGCCCATGCTTTTGACCAAGTTGACCATTGGCCAAAACGCGAGAATTTGAGGCAAATCGCCAATCAAATATAAGCCCAATATTTATAATATTACAAAACCGTGAAGTTATTGGACTATTTTTCCATGAACATTGGACAACATTGCTGAATGCATTTGTATTTTTAAGGGTAAAGGTCAAGTAAGTAGAAGTCATTAGCAATAACCTGTTCAACGGGAACAAAAAAGTGACTTTGAGCAACGGGCGAGACGAGAGGTTCGAAGAGCTGGCCGATAGCATATGAGTGATATGACCATTGACCAGCAGTGAAAGTATCAGCCGACGTGAGCACTGAGCAGTTCTCCGACAATCGGCACATCTTTAGGCAAACCTAGTACCTACGTCGTTTTAACCCTCGCATGTGTTCGGCGTTTGCCAGCTTCTAATGTGTAGGGGAGGGGGGGGGGGGGGGTCGGTGGGACCCCCCTTGTTGTTTGGCCCCTGATCGAGCTAGAGCTTCGCGAAAAAAAAAACGAGCGTGTTGCCCGTGACGAGAGGAAGCCGATGGTACCAAATTTTAAGGTCCTAGGTCATTGGTTGACCTTCCAGGTCAGGTCAATGACCCAAAATCGGGAAAATCGGGACTTAGAAAGTCGTAAAGTGTGGCTGCTAAGGGGTTTTTCGGGGTGCTGATCACGAATATCGTGTTAGTTTTGTTCACAGATGATGTCTTTAAGCATTTTGACCAGGTCGGGTCAGGTCAGGTCAGGTCAACCAGTAGGCGTCGTGACGGGTATGCGTAGTACGTGTCAACCGCCTCTGACAGCTTCGTAACATGTTACGAAGTCACCAAAACTACTTCGTAAATGTTCAAATGGTCGCTAAATTTGAATTCAGCTCCAAAAACTAGCCTAGAAACATGTAAAACTCGAAAAAGTGAACCGAGGTCACCAAAGGTCACTGACCTGACCTGACCTACAGGTAACCTTGACACCCACCCTAATGCATGGGAGCAACATCAAATCACATGTTTGAACGTTTTAAACCACGAAAAGCTTGCAAACGCGCGGCTAATGCGAGCCGACATACACGTAATCGTGATTCCGGCCAAACATGGTCTCGGAAAAGAGGTCACAGGTCAAAGGTCATTGGGGTCAGGGTCATGAAATTTTCAGGGTAGGTGTAAAATTAATCAATGCGAGGGTACTGAAAGTTTCGTCGCGATCGGCCGCTTTTTACGCGAGTTATTTGCGAAAAACCATGGAGGGGTCCATCCGACCCCCATACACATGCGAGGGTTAAGCGGGACGATGTAAGTGTTGGGCTTTTATGGACCCTATGATATATGTATATGTTACCCTCTTTTTTTCTTTTCCTGACAGATCCGCCAGAAAACTAATAAGGCAAAACTGCTGATGGTTGGCCCACAACAATTTTATCCGTGAACATGTTCCTTAATCTTAAATATATTTAGTTGTACAGAACTTTTCAGCCATTTTTTATCCCCCGTCCGTATTGTTTTTTTAACAACGTCTAACGTTTGTGGGGAGGGGGATCCCTGGAACCCCCAGACGTTTGGCGTCTGATCGAGGGCTTCGCGGAAAAAAAGAACGAGCGTGCTGCCCGTGGTAAGAGAAAGCCAATGATGCACAATTTTAAGGTCGAATGTTATTGGTTGACCTTCCAGGTCAGGTCAAGTACCAAAGAAGTCAGGGAAAATCAGGACCTGTTAGAACATCGTAATGTGAGATTGTTATAGGTTTTTCTCGGGGTTCTCATAACAAACTTTCATGTTAGATTCGATCGAAGATGATGTGTTCATGCATTTGTGGTAGGTCGGGTCGGGTCAGGTGAGGTCAATCAGTAGGCCTCCCACCGGCTATACATAAGAAGTGTAAACCATCACGGATAGCTTCCTTACATATGTATAGCATTTATACCAAAATTAATTCTCAAAAGTTTAAGTGGGTGCTTAGTTCAAAATCAGCTCCCTCGAAATATGCAAAACTCAAAAAGTGAACCACGGTCATCTAATGTCAATGACCTTGACTTGACCTTAATGTGACCTTGACACCCACAATAGTGTATTGAACAAACAGCATTTCACACGTTGGAACGTTTGCAACTATAAAAAAACTGGGAAATGTACGCTGACATGGGTCGAATCGCGATTCCGGCTTGATATGGTCTCGAGAGACAGGTCACAGGTCAAAGGTCATGAGTCAGGATCATTACATTTATAGATATTGTGTAGAATTGATTAACTCCGAGGGCACTGAAATGTTCGTGGCGGTCGATCGCTTCTTGCGCGAGTTATTTGTGAATAGCCCAGGGGAGGCCCATTCGACCACCATCCCACCCCAAAGCGCCATGATTAATGCACAAAAATGTGTGTGTATTTTCACTTCAAATGTGCATGCAGCATGTTGATCGTCGATCTTACCACAGCACCACGCAGCGTACATACACACACACAATACCACGTAGTGTATACTGTATGCGTCGCATTGTGCCTCACATCTTGTGCGTGAAATGTGATTGTTGTGTGATGTCTGTTACACCCCTTCCGTTCATGTTCCGTCAACAGCCCCATCACCATCCGAGCATCCCATCATGCTTCCCCGGCGCGGAACCGCCCAGAAGACTAGCGCGGCGAGCGGTGCGGCGCGGAGGCGGTGCACCTCAGCCTGAGCGTCACCCTCACCGGTTACATGGCGACGGTGTCTTCCTCGCGGGGTAATCAAAGTGGCGTCGCTGGCGGTGCGAACTCAAACTCGCTGTCCGTGCGGACTGGCGGACCTCCTGAGCGAGCCAATCGCCGTGTTGTCCGAGTTTAATGGGCTGTCGGCGCGCCCGGCAGCCGCTGTATATGACAAAGCCCGCACTGGCCGCTGGCAGGCGGGCCGAGCGGCCGGCTATTCTCAGCTCCGCCGCCGGTAAACGCTAGGCCAAGTGGCGTGGTCGTGTCGCGTCGGCCGGGGGCGCCCGCGCCCGCGCCCGCGCGCCAGTTGGAGCCGCCCTCTCGGCCCGGCCGCGCCGCCCGGCCGGCCGCCCCGGCACGTGCAGGTGTCAGTGTGTGAACGTGCCGGATGGCCTCCTCCAAGGAGAAGCCGGCGCACGGCGAGCGCTGGCTGCTCACGCGCAAGACATGGCGCTACATGGCCGACGCCGGTCGTCGGCTCATCCCCGAGGGCTGGTCACCCGAGCACGGCGCAGCCGGTATCCATCAGATCGAGCAGAACTTCCAGGCCGTCTGCAAGAAGGAGAAGAGCTTCCTGCCCTGGCCCAAGAAGAAGCACGAGCACGAGGAGGAGGGCGCCGCAGCGGCCGCCGGCGATGGCGCGCGGACCGTCGAACGGGCTGTGGACGCGCTGGACGTGGTGGACGCCAGCTCCAGCGTGCCGGAGACGCCCACCACGCTGGGTGCCGACAGCCTCACCGCCTCGGACGAGGAGGTTACCGTGATCGAGGACCCCGGCCTAGCGGCGTCGCCGATGTTCGCTCAGGCGGCGCCGTACGGGGCCAGCGCCGAGGCCTACCAGCGCTCGGCCGGGCTCCGCACCTTCTCTGCCGGCAGCCGCATCACGCCCGTCGGATTCGACGCCGAGGCGGCCGAGGAGCTGAAGCAGCGACTACGGCAACGGCAGCATCAGGACCGCGAGCGGCAGGAGCGCGAGCGAGAGGTCACCGTCGGCGAGGAGCTCGAGGCACTGCTCGAGGACGGTACCAAGAAACTGGTGCGCTGCGTGGGCACGCAGACCGAGGCGCGCCCTGACGACCCGCTGCCGCCGCTGCCTCCTGTCGAGACGGACAGCGGCAAGGGCACCGAGGCCGAGGTCAGCACGCCGGAGACGCCGCTCAGCCCGCTGTCGGTGATCGACTCGCGCTCCGAGCCGGACAGGGGTGCCACCGCTGTCACCCCCGGATTCACCAGTGTGGGCGTGTTCGGCGACCTCTCGTCGCACACTGTGCCGCGCAAGGACTCGGTGACCCACGCCGGCGCGCCGCCCTCGGACGACGAGCAGCACAAGTTGCGCCATGTCGAGCACGGTGAGAAGGACGGCGCCAAAAAGGAGTCCGCAGAACAGCCGTCGCCAATGCTGGATCGGTTCGGCGACAAGCTGTCCCGCTACCTCAAAATGGCGCGCCGCGACTCGGTCACGCGCGACAAGGACAAAAAGGATCGCTTCAAGACGGTCAACTACGACAAAACGCTGCGCAACATCAAGTCGAAACGAATCAACCCCGACACTCTGGAGGACATGAGTGAGGAAGTCAAGCCGCTGGAGCTCGACGAGCCTCCCAAGTCCCTTCTCAGCGATCCACCAAAGCGGGCCCGCGCACCAGCAAAGGTCGCCAAGCCTGCGCCAGTAGCAGCGGCGGCGGCAGCGGCCGCACCGCCTGAGCCCCGGCATCATGACGCGAAGAAGAAGAAACGGCGTGGTATCCAAGTGGGCGAGCCGCTACCTCAGTACATTCTAGACTCGTTGCGCGGCGCGTTACACGGCTTCAAGCCGACGCGCAAACTGTCCAAGGCCGAGAGTGAGATATCTGCGAGCGCTGACGAGCGGTGCAGCGACCCGCTCAGCCCGCGCTATTCCATTACCGTCAGTGACGACCTGGGCACGCGCGACCTCACCCTCTCGGACATCGAGTCGTCCACAGTGGCGCCGTTCAGTCTGTACAGCAGCGCGCGGACTAGTCTGGACGTGACCTGTGACGCGGTGGACGATTTTCTGGCCGGCCGCGGCGCGTGCGGTGGTGACGTGCCGCCACCGCTGCCGCCCAAGCCGGGCGTGGTGGCGATGCCGCCCAGCCAGCCGGTGGCGATCTCCGAGCCGCGCCGCGCCTCCTCCTCCGACCCGCTGGTCGCCTCCTCCTCCCCCTCCAAACAGGGCTTCTTCGCCCGGCGGCTGTCGCACGCGCGCGCCCCCAGCGCCCAGGCGCAGCAGGCGCTGGCGCATCAGGCCGCCGCTGCCGGCCACCACGGCTCTAAACGTGGCTTCCTCTCCACAGTGATGCAGAAGACGGGCAAGGCGAGCAACCACGGCAGTCGCGTGGTGGCAAAGAAGCTGTGGAAGTCGCGCTCCAAGTCCCAGTCGCGCACCAGTCTCTCGTCCGCCTGTGTCTGGACACCTCAGGTGAGTGGACGGCTTGGGCCTCTTGGGATGGGGGAGTTTAGGGGAGGGGTAGTAGGGGTGCTCTGGTGCCAGTACCATGAGGCCATGATTATAACCTCCCTGTCTTGTTCGATCGGTCACAACAGCTTACGAAGTCTATTTTGGCTGACGGTGTTGCTTGTGGCACGGAAAATATGTGCGTAAAATCAACAACCGTTGTTTGGAGCCGCAGGAAAGCAATGTTTTCCAAATTAACTGTGATAGCCGCTCTTAATTCTACGAAAATGCGGCTTATTTTGGAGCCGTTTAGCTGGTCAAGCATCATTCCAGCCATTATCTTGATTTCAAAACCTTGAAATGCCAGCATCTTGCCAATGCAAGTGGTGCCAAAACATGATTGGTGCTGATATATCACAACCACTTTTAACTGTAATGTAGTCGAGTGCCAGGGTATATTGAATTAGGTCGAGTGCGGTTAATCAGTAGGTCGCGTGTGTTGACTTTTGATGAACTTTCCTCACCATGCAACGGAGGACGCCGTCATCTATTTTTGTTGTCACGGCGTTTCCAACGCGGATTCCGGAATGATCAGAGCCATCAGCTCAACCAACTTCAAAGCTCTCGATTTTGTGAACCGTACTTGGAACCGCACTTGGATCCTTGGTCAAGTTAGGTGCCATTTTGTCTCACCATGGTTCCCAAATTACTTCACCGAACGTCGCCAGACCATGAAGGGGCATGTCGTGCCCGGCTTTGGACGTTATGTTTGGCGTTATTCAGGGCAGTATAGCTGGACCGTTGATGTTCCTCTTATACACGGGCGGCATCCAGTCCATGTTGTCTGAATCTTGTTAATTTGTTTCGTACAGCAAACGACGCGTAGACAAGGGAGGATAATGAAGATACCGCTTTCTCCTAATCCATCCGCTCCGTTCCTTTCGTTCGATGCGGATATCCGTTGCCCATGCATGAAGGGAGCTGAAGTTATCCCTCGTCCAGCTGCTTGCCGAGTCCGCGCGGCGTGCACTGTGCCGAGTGTGCAGACGCATGTGCCTTGGGCCAGCCATGCCCAAGTGCATGCAAACATCCGTGTGCGTGGTGCGGTCGGTGGCCAATAGTTTCACTCGTGAAGGTGGCCGCTGAGGGACCTGCGAAGCCGGCGCCGGCTGGGCCAAGTGCACGTGGGCCGCGAGCTGTGCTCAGGGCAGTCCGCACGTTGGTCCTCGGGCAGGTGTAGGGTGAAGGACACATCCCGTGAAGATGGCCTTCATGCGATCGGCGAGCAGCGCCGGCGCGGTCGGACCCCGTTCAGGTGTGGTAGGCCGTGTGCGCGGTCGGCAGTCGGCGCCGACCGCTGGTGCATATGTCCGTGTGCGGTCGGCAGGCTATCCCTCTGCCTAGTGCTGGTGAACAGCCGGCCTTTCTCCGAGCAGATGGGCTTTGCGGTCGGCGGGTTATGCCTCCACCGGTAAAGTCTCCGCCGATGAAGTCACCCTCACCTCAACCGGTGCAGCCGATGCCGTGTGCGGTGGCCGCAGCCGCCGCGTTCCTCCGTCTGCGGACGTCAATGCGGCGTCAGCGCGTCCGGCAGCTGCCCTCCGGGTCAGCTTGGCCGGCGGCCAGTGCGCCGCGCGGTCAGCCGGCCCGGCCGCGCCCGCCTTCCTGAACATTCCATGCACGTCACGTCCGCCGAGCGTCCGAGCGTGCATCCGCTCCTCTCCCCGCTCCACCCCCTCTCTCCTCGTCTCTCCCCTCCTCTCCTCGACTGGGTGCTGAGGGTCGCCCGCGGGTGGCCGGTGAGTACTGCCCGGACAGTCGCTCGGCCGCTGCCAAAGACACGCAGCAAACGCATTCCTGGCATACAAGTGTTCAGTCAATAGCGCTCTGTGATGAGGGTAACCTTGTGGGAAGTGTTCAAGTGCATGTCACGCATCTCAAACCGCGAATTTATTTGTATTATTTTATCACGCTCATGAAGAATTCTTCCACAGCTAGGCTGTAGTCAGCATGTGAATATCAGTGGCCATCTTGAATATTTTCGGTTTGAAATGTCCTTTATCTGGAAAGCAGACGGCGCGCTGGAGTGAGCCCCGGTCATGAGGAGAGATCTTGGTGGTATAATCTATTCCACCATGCGCAGGTTAATACGCAGGTCCGCTGCTTTACTCCACAGTTACTGTTGAATTCAGTCTTCAAGTGAACTGGTTGTGTCGTGCAGCATTCTGGTCGTTTTAAAAGAGCAAGTTGCCACAAAAACAGCTTCGCACCATAGCAGCTGGAGCCTCGACAGACCAAGCATGATCTTATGATTCGCTACTGAGATGTCTGGAGAAGATCATCAATGAATTACTTTGATGGATTCAGTCATCTCTATACCGCTTTTGGGGTCTCGTTTCAGTCTGAATCCCCACAGTTTTAACCACATTGATGGCATGTGCCCTAGTAAATCTAGCATCGCAAGGGACGCTACTTCCTATCCAGCATACCTCAACAGTAAACAATTAATCTACCTTTTAAAATCCCGTGCCAAACAACCTAAACAAAGAAATTGTTGGCCAGCGGCCGCTTTCCAGCCCGGTCGTTTGGTGGCAGCTCGATGTCATCACAAAGGGGTGGCCAGTTGAACCAGCAGCTGTCGTTCCGTTTTCCGGTGCCGTGGCCGGATTGTGGCCGTTTGTTTTTCGCCAACGGCCGCATGCCATCGGCCGGAGTCCGAGGCACGGCCGGTCCCGCCCCCACCGCCGCCCCGCCCCGCTCTGGCACCGCGCCCGCCCAGGTAATGTGTCTGATGTTGCGCCCGGAACGGTCACGAGGTTGTGACGTCATCGTCTACGTCATCGCCGGCTTGATGACATGCGGCTGGTGCGGCGGCGAGTCTGAGGGCTGACGTGTGGGGTGGCTATTGATGAGTTCGACACATGATCTGCGAGGAGAAACGGTCGTTCGTCGGGTCGGAAGGGAAGAAACGGGACTGAATCGTTCAGAACAGGACTAATGGGAAGGGGAGCAGGATGTGAACGGGATGTGGATGGACGTGGGGGTGGAAGCGGGGGCGGATCCAGGATTTTATTCGGCCAGGGGCCAATGCAATGGGGGCGGCATGTTCTGAACATTGGAAATGTAGTGAAAATTCAAGTCAACGTCTTCTCTTCCCTTTCCTCTGATGTTGGTTGTGTGTACCGTGATTTGATAGTGTCGCAGCGACCCGATTCGTCGCTGCGCAGGATGGCATATTTCTCGGGCTAGAGGCTTTAGTCCTCAAAGCTCCTCCCGATCCGCCACTGGGTAGAAACGAGTAACGAGAAAATGGACGGGACTGATAGCTAACGGGAAAGTGCTCAGTAGCAAAAGGAATGATGGAAGACGCTAAGCGGCATACAGACGGGAGACGATTTTCCTTCTCTGATTTCCCGTCTTTGTCATTCCCCATTCGTGGCCCCGGTTTTCTGCTCTGTATCTAAGACTAATGATTGCATTCGGCCTAGCTATAGCAACTGTCTGATGGGTGCCTGCAGTTGAACCGCCAGCATCACATACAATCGAGGAATCAATGAGCGGATACAAATTTGGTACAAATGAGCGAGTGAAAGGCAGCCGCCCCGATCAGTATAGCTCAGAGGAAGAAAATCATAACAGTAAATAACAATGCAAAACATCAAACATGATTACAATCAGCTGCACTATAGTGGCAAAAAAGGGACACTTCTCTTTTTAGAATGCACAGTTATTGACGTATTTGACTGAACTGACGGCGGTATTTCAGCGAGTACTTAGGAGTTGGTCAGTGTCGGATAAAGTCCGGATGAGTGAATGAGCACCTACCGTACTACTGAAATAGTGTCATGTGACCTTGTCTATCGCTTCACTTATTGGCAGAAGTGAAATGAGCCAGTTGGGAACGTAATCACCGTCTTAACAACTCAGGCTGGGTTAAGAAACAGTTGAACAATTGCTAGGGTTTGCTAGGGAGAGAAAAGACAGAGCGAATAGGTGCATATCAGCTGTGAAATCAAGCATTGACTGAACTACCACAGCTAGCTTGAACCCACACATTGAACGGGAGCAGTGATCACACTTATTAGTTAGTTTAAAGTCACATACGCGAACAGGAGAAAGCGGTGTTTTCTCTTTAGCTGTCACTTTACAGCCGAGCCAATACCGACGCCACGATTACGCACTCAGAAGAGCTAATAAAGCCGAAACTACTGGCGTCTGCAGAAACGATGATAACGAAAATGTTTGTCATACTTCCCCGTTATTAATTAACACAGGTGTCAGCGTTTCTAGTAGAATGTTACGAGCACGTCCGTGAGCCAATTCATGGTCCCAGTGTATATTTGGGTTGGTCCGCTCACGACTTTGTCACCTCGTGTTTAGGTCGTTTCGAGCGGAGAAATGATGGTGATGTGAGAGTGTGATCAAAGGTGCGATGAGTTAAGTCGAGTGCCACTCAAATGATCCAGAGGCTTGCACATTGTTAATGCCACTTTGCCAAAAAGTGTACCTATTGCAGTTACGCTTTGCTTGTTTTCAAATGAATGATTCGTTGAAGATTTTGTCCAGATTGAATACCTTCTTTGAATTTGCATTAGACGGTTTCTCTTAAATTGATTATTTTCCAGTAGAACTGCTTTAACCCTCGCCCGCACATGCCATTTTCCCATCCTAGAACGCACATGGGGGGGGGGGGTGGTTGCCACCCCCCCCCGCGCCATTTCGTTCCTGTTGGAGATAGAGCTTAGCAGTAAAGACCAAAAAGATTCTTTGGGAAGAGACGAATCCAATGATACCCAGTTTTACCTTCTCAGGTCAGTCATTGACCTTCCAGGTCAGGTCAAACTAAAAAATGTTGATGTTTTGGGTCACCGTTGGATATCAAGTGCGCTGCTTATCAAATACCGATGACGATGCTGTTTTCTGGTGCCAAACCAGCTAGAACCTCTTTGTCACACTACCCGACCAGAATTTTGCTGCTGAGGTCATTTCAGGTCAAGTTAGGTCAAGGTCAGTTATATGTGTTT